AGTAGTCGTCGTCGTCGTCGTCGTAGTAGTAGTAGTAGTAGTAGTAGTAGTGGTAGTAGTAGTAGTAGAAGAAGTAGAAGTAGAAGTAGAAGTAGTAGTAGTAGTAGTAGCAGCAGCAGCATTAGTAGCCGTAGTAGCAGTAATACGCAGTAGTACGTCGTAGTAGTAGTAGTAGTAGTAGCAGCAGCAGCAGCAGCATAGCCGTTGGCGTTGTGGTTGTGGTGGGGGCGGTAGTGGTAGTGGTAGTGGTAACAGCAGCGGCAAATGCCCACCAAAAGATGCAGGCGACGCCGCATGGCTCTCGAAGCGATCACTATCTGGCTTCTCCTCTGGACCATCCTCAGCGCACCACGGTTTTAGTGCAGCAGACAGTGGAAGCCACTACACTATAGTCACCAATAGAAAGCCAAATGTTCAGCTGATCTGTTATGTGGTAGCTTCGATTTCCTTTGCCATTGGCGCAATGCACAAACAAAAAAGCTATCATACTGTATGAGTAACTTCCTCCTGACGGCCTGAAGAACAAGAAATGTACTCAAAGGTTCTGCTTGTGGGGCCGGCTTTGCCTTTTCTAGGGTTCATGCTTTACATCCGCAGCTGCAAATCCAGCTCAGCATGCTGCAAACGTCATGGCATCCCGGAAGACGCGAGAGAGCCTTGCTTTTGAGAAGGGAAGCTGCAAGGTACTTCCATGATCGGGGACAGCTCATTCAGCTTGCGCAGGGTTTCGTAGTTTGCTTATGAACCTGGTGGCCGGATTGGGGTGTTGAGGCCGTGGCTCCCGCCCCATTTCCCGGGACAGCACGAGGAGCTCTTGCCTCGGCCAGGCGCCACTCATTTCTATGCTAACGGATGGACTTGTAGGGCACTGACGAGGCGTAAAGCGGCGAAGGAAATCTGATTGACCTAAGTGGAGAGTCGGGACTTCAATTCCCAAACGAAAGAGGTCGAATGAACGCAACACATCTAATACATGAGGTAGCATGCGTGAAGGGAGAAGTCTCCTCGTGGATTTCTGACGTAAGCAGCAGGCTTACATTGGCAAACTGGCTCTGAGATCCAAATATAAAGAAAAGAATCTCATAGCTCCATCTGGCCAAAAGGGATGCAAGGCTGAGATTGGTTCCCCAGCTCCTCGAAGTTTTCGCGAAATCGCTGCCTCGACACCATGCGTAGAAGAAGCTATAATGATTGGGAATTCGGTGACCTCTGCTGAAAGTCCTGGTTCTGCAAGGCTAGCTGGCGGGTTTAGGGCTGTGGGATACGGAACAGCTGTGCCGGACCTAACGCGGTGGACAGTCACACTTCCGTGTTGAAACTCTGGGAAGCCGGCAAGTGCGAAGCTTCCGTGCGGAAGTCCTTAGCAGCAAGGTTACGGAACACGTCTCATGCTGCAACATGCGGTTGAAAAATACCAAAGTAGCCATTGGATGACTCAGGCACACTGAATCTGAAAAGCGTCCGTCTGCATTTGCACATGCTCGCAGAACTCTTCCGCAGCCTTCTTCAAACCAAGCCTGGCTGCAGCATCATCCACATAGCAATATGAGCCACTTGCGGTGCAGACTTTGCCCTGCAGGACTGTCAGAAGTGACGCATATAGTACATACGCGTGACTTGGGGCGCAGCATCCGTAGAGGTTCGAGAGACTCCGCCCAGTTGCCAAAGCCTCAGCCACATTACAAATAGATGGGCATAGCGATTGCTCGAACTGTTAATTTCTGCTGCTTATCGGTCTGATGGGACACACAAGCGAGAACGTTTCCCGCTGACTTTGGATTGAAGTGTAGATCATGGAGGGCGCGTCACATGCGACAGCTTGCAGCTTGCAGACTCTGATTGTCAGAGTTCTCCTGACTGAGGTCAGAAGGTTTCAGGAGCTGGATTAGGCAGCGAGAGGAAAGATGCGGCCCGCACACAGCAACAGCGCCAAGTCAGCTTCTAACAGCCGCTTGACGCCTGGCCTGGTCAAGCAACGCGCTTGAGATATTGCAAGAGCGTACAATCCTTGAGTGAGCATTTGGCAAGAACAGCGTCGTGCGTGCAGCAACGGTAGTCCTAATTGGCCAAATCTTATGGTGCCAGGCTGCATTTATGCATCCAGGGCTGTGCCTGAGGCATTTGACAGCAACTTCCGTGCCATCCCGGAGCTTTCCAAAGTAGACCTTGCCCAAACGAAGCACTCTCAACAAGCAAGCATCAAAGCGGGGATACTGTAGCTGCCATGCAGCAAAGTGCCTCTGCCATGCTCCCAGACGCATAGGGCCTTGTCTTTGGAAAGATGTTTACACACACAGCTCTGCCTCAAGCACCCACCTAAACATCTCGTGAAACCTTACTTGCTGTATTCACAGCTTTCCTTAGCCCAGCCTGGAATCCAAGGATTGAATGTCCAACTCCGCGTTGCGGAGGGAGCTGCATACCTCTAAATGGTCTTCTCGGCATGCTACGAGGAGTTGACGGGTGACCAGCAAGCAATGTTGGGAACTGCAGACACACCTTTTCTGGTAACCCAAGCTTAGAGCTCAAGGACGAGCCTCCGAAGGCTCTATGGCAGTGGACCTGCAACGAGGCACCGGTCCAAAACCGCTGCCGCTTTGTGATCCGAAAGAACTGCCATCCATCGACCAAGTAAGGGAATGGCCATGGTGCTGACACAGACTCGTGCATGCCTCCAGAAGTACCGATATGGATTGCGAAGCCAAGCAACTCATTCAACTGAGCAGTCCAAGGCTGCCACGCCCGAGGGCTGCGCAAAGGCTGTCCGGAAATCTTAGCGGCTTCAGTGTGTTGCTAGCTTGCTGGAATGTTCAGCATGCCTTGCAGATCTAAACTAGAGCACTGAGGTTGTGGTGGGCATCTAAGCGCCCAGACAGATCTCGTCGAGTTGCCGCCCACTGCGCCAACCTTGCAGCCAGGCTTCATAGTGCAGTGCTTGTGCTTTACGTCGGCTGTTGCAAGCTGAAGCTGGCTTCGCCATGCAGCAATGCTTGCTGAGGGGGCTTAGGAATCAAATAGAGAAGGCAAAAGCTCATGCCACCTTTTCTACCCCAAGCAGAATATGCCGTCAATTGCATGGTCACGATCGAAGCAGGTTGAGCCACGAGGTGCATACAGACCTCGGCAGGAGACTGTGTTCTGGTCATGAGGAAGGTTTCTTGGAAGCTATTTCAGGCCATGGATTCTTCCAATGTTCGGCCTCCACCATCACCGGACACTTCTAATTACTAATTACTATTCAAATACCAGCTGAAAGCTATAGCTGGTCATAAGCTAGCTAAGCCAAGGCGCAGCATGGCCTCCTCAGCTCAGTGCAAGCAACAACCGGTTTGCAGCCCGAGAACACTGACAAGCCAAGCATCGTGTCAACGGCTTTGTACTTGCTCTGGACCTGCCAGCTCCAGCATCATGCTTCCGACTGGGCGTTGCCAAAATGTGCCCAAACTGTCCAGGCCTCGTAAACTTTGGCATTCCAGTCTCCACCTGCAACTATGCCTTGGATTCGACAGCTGCAGCAAGCCCAGCTGGAGGAAACGAGGCCAACATATTTCGCGATGGCGGCCAGGAGGCTGTCACCTCCAAGCTCGGTGCATAGTTGCTGAAGGACTCGCACTGCTTCCTCCTGGTAGGCTAAGCCGGCTAAGCAGGTGTAATTTGAACACTCGAGTTCAAAATCACTCCGTATGGCCAACTAAGAAAGCAAAATTTGGAATCCGGAGGGCTCAGAGCTGCCAGCTGTGATGCTGGAAGTCCTCCTGAGACCGTGGATGTTTCTTCTCAGGGATAATGGGGACGTGGCAGGACCTTGGTTTGGACTGCTGAACCTCCACCCTCCTCTGTGTGACCTCCTCCTGATGCGTGGGGTTGCTCAGTGGCCCACACAAACCACGTAGATCCGCGCCGCGCTGCAGCAAAGTATCCTTGCACTAGCACATCGAAGTTCTCGTACGGTGCGCTGTTTCGAGAAGAGAAAGTGGCAAGCTTTTGGGTTCCCTTTGCTATTCGGGCAGCACTTGTGGAGGACGGTCATCTCAAATGAGATAAGTGTCGCTTCTTCCTGCCCACCTCGACCGTGACCTGAGTTCAACATCTGAAGATGTCACATGACAGCTGGCTCATTTGCCCGGCTTCTTCGGGCGGCAACTGTGCAAAGTGCTGCCCTGCCTGCTGCTCCTCTTCAAAGGGGTGCGTCGAGATCACACTCGTGATGGCGTCGCACTTGCTGCCTGAAATTGCAGCTTTCAAAGGGTTCACCACTGGAAACGTCCGTTTAGTGGGAAGGTTGCTGCCAGAACGGCACCATGTTTGCTTTAGATGCCTTGGCACATGGCCCGAGACTTGTCACTTTTCGTCGAGCCGCTGTCCTCGTTGGCTTGGGAGAAGCTAGCCGCCCAGCCTCTCCTTAGGTGAGCTTGCCGTTCAAGGTGTCTCGTGCTGACAGTTGCTATACTTCGGGTCAAGATTGATGTCCAGCCCAGAATCTGCGCGCATTGCTGTTGCACCTGTTGCAGCGCGTGAAAGGGTAGGAGTTACTGAACAACCTGATACGCACATGGCTAGTTCTATCTGGGCGCCTAGGGCCGTGCATGCTGTTGAAGCAGCTTAAACAAGAGGCGATGATCTCCCTCAGGCAGGTGATGGGGAGTGGGAGTATGTGGAGGAGGGAGGCGACGACGCGGATTGAGCTGACTTTGTCTGGGTTGCAGAAGTTGACACGGGCTGCAACCCGTGCAAATAAACTGCATCTCCATGCACATGTGGCCAAGCAACTTACAGGTTTCAGAACTTGCTTAGCTGAACACCATTGATATGTTGGCTGGCAACATGCTCTGCAGCTTCACGCTTTGGTGAAATCAGGCAGCGGGATCCAGCTTTTCTCTGAGAACAGTTTGCATCAGACTGTCGTGCTTTATGTTCAACCAGCTTGCCGCTTCGACGTATGTGCTTGCAAGTAATGCACATCGGGGAGTTGCGGCTTTCCCCGTTTCAAAGTCTTTCTATGCCTCATAGGTGAGGGGGCACCTTTGTCGCTATCTCCTGATTCAACTCCTGGAGGAATGCCACGTCCACGTTGGTTGAAAGCGCTTCAACCACAACAGTCTCCACATGGACGGCGTGCGCTGCAATGACCTGAGACGCCAACTATAGCTGAACAAACCAACATCCCATCCTGCTTCCCGCTAGTCTGGGCTTTTGCCAGGCTAAAGCTAGGTTCGTTGTTCAAGGTGCCGCCGGTGATGTCATGGCGTGAAAAAGGAGGTCGATCTCCTTCACAGGCTGCCAGTATCTGAAAAAATCCTTCCGGCTTTAGAAGATGCAGGACTTGTTGCTGGGGGTCTCGCCATCACGTCGTGGCTGTCTGACTCTGCTAACCCCTAGTTACTAGTTCCTAAACCTTGGCAGTGGGTTGACCCCCAGGGCGGGGTAAGCCCAACAGCGGTGTGTACAAAGGCTTCAGGCTTGCCAAGTGCAGGCATCCATGCAGCAGATCTGCATTAGTCATTTTTAGTCGTTGGGTACATCATCTTTACGCGATCTGCTCGCAACTGGAAATTGAACGCAGACAGGACGGACTACGAAATTGTCAAGTCCTCCCGGCGCTCTCCTCAGGTCGATTTGGAGCACGCTTGCCGAGCTTGAGTTGAAATACGTGTGCTGCATGGACATCTGGGCAATCTGTGGTCCTACTGCTTCGCTCTCTCTCCTTCTCACTGAACAAGTGCATGTTCCGATACCCAATCAGTCAAAAGTAAAGCGGCGCTTCAGCTCTCGCAGCAGCTGCCGACAGTACGGATCGATCCTTAGCAAGCTGCGCCTACTTGGAAGCAACCGGCTCGTGCAAGAGAACTGCATGTTCCACAAAATCCTGAACGCAAGCGGCCATAAGGTTGGGCAAAGCCTACTGTACCGAATTGCTGCGCACAGTGCGCAAGATCAGCTTCCAGAATCAACCGAAGCTGGGGCTCCCATCCGATACTGCAGTCCCAGATGTCAGCGATGGGAACTCCAGAGTATTCCAAGTGAGGACGCCAAGCTTTCCCTCATAGGAGCCGCCTTCGAGGTGCCAATGCAGGCAGACTACACGGCACCGCTCAAGATTCAAGATCCAACAGAATGTTGCACAATTATGTCTCCTCGTACTGCACTAAAAAAAGATTACGAGGGCCCACGTAACTTTTATAGCACCATGATACTGGAGGGGCGACATGCTACAGGAAAGAAATGCCTGGCTGCACTTCCTCCACCAGGAGTTTGTGGTCGGATTGCATCAGAGCCTCCTTGGCTGACAGCAAGAAGTTACGTTGTTGAAACTGTGCATGGCCTACCTGAGCGTGAGAACCATCCTGCTGGGCTAGAACAAGGTGTCTGCCTGCTTCCAAGCCACTTGATGTGCTTTGATGACTGTCTCCAGCTTGCCTCGGTGGAGCACATAAACACGTGAAATTTCTCGGAAAAGCCCATGCAAGTGCCAGAAAAGCAGCTGCCGGAGTTTACGTATTGCAGCTGGCAAGGGGCTGCTGCGCTCTGCTGCGTGCTGCGCCACCTTGGTGTCGAAGCCATCATCCAGACCGCCTTTCTGCAGCAACGCCTTGTCAAGTGCGCTAGCGCAAAATGAGATCTGTAGTAAAGTGCCCCCCAAAACCTTAATGCTGAATTCCGCCTGCTTTCTCGAATCCCCAGCCAAAACAGAACTTGTGCCTGGTGCAGTTTTCATAGGCACTCTATCGCGTCAACCCAACTTTAGCTGGGATGGGCCATGGCTGTGCAATCTAGTCGCTCGAAAATTCTCTAGCTCCCGCTTCTGCAGCTCTGGCAGCTCTCGTCTGCAGATGGCTTCGACCTGCAATGCCACCCGAAGATCTTTGAAAAGCATTAGCTTTGCTGTGCAAGAGTAAAGCTCCCAGCCATGCAGATAAGCAGCAGATTCTACAGTAAGACATAGCTCGCCCCCCAGCCTTCTTCAGCAACCCTGGATACCTGAGGCGAGACGGCAGTTTCCACGAAAGCTAGCCCTGCAAAAGATGACAACTGAACAGCGACCTGCTGCGGGTGGTTCTTGTCATCCGAGATACACTTTTGAGCCCGGCTCCGCATCGAGCAGAGTGTCGGGTAGGACGTCAGACTTGACCTTTATTATGGATGTTTCTTCCCCTCTCCATGCGTTTCAGGTCTCATTTGTCCATCTGACATCTTCCTAGAACCTCGGTCAATATCCTGGTGTACTACAGTATAGGCCGCGGCCAAGCTGCTGAGACGGCTGCGTAGCGCGCCTCCGCCTGCGCGATGGATGCATTGAGGCGCCGCAGAATCTCCCTTGGAAGCGGCTCCTGACCAGCACGAGCAGGAGCAGCTGCTTTGGCCATCGGACTATGTCTAAAACATAAGTGAAACATTAAATTCCTGGATCCAACTGATACTTTTTTCACCCGGATGGAAATTCATGAGGCCATGCATCTCGGCATACAAATTTTTACGTGACAGGCACATAAGGTGCATAAGTAGAGGGCCCCCTTGCAAGTACGCAGGCTCCTGGCATGAGATTGTACATCCGGCAAGTACTAGCACCTCCCACTCTACAGGCATTTGCAGCCAAATCCTCGCTCCGCCCTACGCAGGCAACGTGTCATTGTGATATCTGCGATCTCAATGCATCTCACGAAAGCGCACGAGCTCTCCTGGCCCTGAATCTTCGGCAGCAGCTCTGCCGCAAAGCTTGATACCTCATGCGCATAGCCATGAATGAGCAGCCACAGATGGTCTGCATAGCATTCACATTGACAAACAGTCAACGTGTTTTTCAACGAGGATAATATGGAGACACTTGCCAAGCGGCAGTGTTACAGTCTCAAAATCATGCATGTCCCGGGGGCTGGAACGCTGCATGGACAGAAAACATGCGCTGGCCTCTGCAAGGAGGCCCTCAGCTCGCTGCTTGAGCTCCTGGGCATGATCATGAGATTGTCAAATCTCACGTGACGCATGGTATCCACTCTGCGAATGATGAAATGACCCAGCTGAGGGACTTGAGCATGCATCTGCTCCACGTTGGCTAGCGCTGTCTGGCATTGTTTTTGGAAGGCTGCCTGAGGATGATCGCCAGCGGCTTGCTTGAAGGCAACAGGCCACGAAAGCCTTCACTCTAAAGATCCAACAGTGAACAATTCCACAGGCCCACATGTATTCCAAGAAAGTAACAGCTTGCAGGCAGAATCACGTGCCCCGCATTTTGCACACTGGCATCTGCCGCCCATAGTAGGAAAGTTGATAGCGAGGGGCATCCACCTGGACTGCTTCCACGAGATACTTGTCCACCCCCTTCCTCAGTAGCCGATGAGGAGCGCTGAAGGCTGCGTAACTTTCTTATTGATGCCAAGATGCTTCAGCTCGTCGGCAAAATCGTTGCCTGCTGCTTCAGTACCCGCACGGCCAGCTGCCACTGCATGGTACGTATAATATCCTTGCATACATTCCAAAGGCCACATGACTGACATGTAAAAGCCATGACTGAGCTCAGGACTGATCGCTGTTGCCAGGAAATCGTCCATGGCCAAGTTGAGGAGTTGTGATAGGGCTCTGATCAAGGAGTCTAGCATACAGTCATGTATGACATGAGGCGTGATAGCATCTGCCAGCAAAGTAGCACGTAGTCACAATGAGTCATGGTGGCCCAGATCTTCGCTCAGCGGCTCACGCGTTCTAACTTTCCCATGCAGACTGCAAGGGCTTGAGCAGCGCCCGCAAACACAGAAGGATCTGGGCCTGGGTTACGACATAACTTGAGCTCCCTGGATCGAACCATTGAAGGGCCACCGGATGACCGGCAACATTACACAGAAAGAGCGAGCGAGCAAAGTCTAGGATGCGTGTCATTTGCCGAGGAATGCCAGGCCGCAGGCTTCACGAAGCAAGGCCCGGCGCGGTCGATGCGGTCCTGGCATCAGCAACTGTGCCAGCATAGGGTTTAAGAGGTAGGGCTGGGCTGGCCTGTGGCGCTTCAGGTAAGTTCAAGTCCTAAAGATTTCAGAGACAATCCTGACAGGCCTTCCTTAGTGGCTGCTTAGTGGAAACCTGCAAAGGCGATTTTATGCGAATTTCTTGTAAGATGCCGTACATGACTACAAGCCCGCGGGCGGGACGGATACCAGGCTCCAGAAGGTGGAAGGATCAATTATCCAAACCTTGGATTCTCAGGATCATCTCAGAAGCCAGAACCCAAGTGCGCAGCTGGCTACATCTTCCAAGGCCTCAACGGGAAAATAGATGGCAACTGGCAACATGATTACCTTGGCTTCAGGCAGCTGCTGCATCAGCCCGTCAAGACTAGCATTTGTACGGAAGTGGAACACTGCTTGCTTGCTACAAAGATGCTGCCAGCTGAAGCAGACGCCATATTGACGCCTCTCCAACAGTGCTCCGGGCTCAAATGTCATGCACGTTGCGTCACAGCTTTGACATTCAAGCTGCACCACTTGCTGCTCGCCAAGCATGTCAATCTCATTCAGTCTCCAATAGACGGACAGGACGGTAACATGTGGCGTAGCCTCGCTGCGCAATCTTTCTACCTGCAGGGGACTTCGATGCTCAAACATCAAACCGGTGCATCTGCTTAATATAAACCTTCATCCTCCGTAGCCTTTATTGGCAACAAGAGAACTTGGCCACTTCTGGCAGACGATGCTGTGCGGTATCTTCCTCCCTACTTGTTGACCATCAAGAGCCACCTCCTCCTGTCGCTGGCGCTCGTGCTCCTTGGCCAAGGCTTCACGCCTGGAGATCAAGCACATAGGCTTCAATGGCCAGGGGTGGTGAATTGTGGGGATATTGGCATACATAATAGGAGATGCTACACTACAAAACCGTCGCTTCTGCTCTCTTCGAGGAACTGACATACAATGGATATGTGACATGTTCGCTTCCAATTTCTCTTGTATCAATACGATATCACGCTGTAGCTTCCGCTTTCTTCTCCGTTGTTCACTAGAGCTGGCCCTGCCAGGTGGGTACAGGTAATGTCAACTTCGGATTACAAAAGGGGGTCGTATTAGAGCGCTTTTGAGCCCGAACGGAATAATAAAAAGGGGGTCGTATTAGAGCGAAATCCGAGCTGAACGGATAATAACAACCCAGGAACGGAATAATGCGTGCTGGCTTCTGGAAACGCCCAGGCAGAAAAAAACAAACAAAAGACAAAAAGAAGA